TGTGCCGCCATACATAGAAAAAGGATAAAAATGCAATTGGTGCAAGTCGGCTGAGCTAACGGTAACGGATGGGCATCGTTCCGGTAAGCTACCAGCCGGCTAATGTGCATCAAAAATATTACTACGCAAAATTATATAAAGCTAAATACTGAGACCGTGGTTGGAGGGGGAGGCTAAGAGGGATTGGGTGGGACAAAGAAAATCACAGCGCGAACGCCAATGAGGTCAGCTCCTATCCATTTCTTCAAGTGTCTCCAGCCAAACGTGTTCATTGTCTTTCGGACCCCAACCAGGGAGACGAAACGCTCCAACCAAGGCCAGCTCAAAAGTAAGGGCTTTCATTCCTCTCGACCAAGTCATCGCTTGGCCACCCCTCTTCTTCTTCCATCCACATCCTCGGTGGGCAAACATCTCACCAAGCGGGAGTCGGTAGGCTGGCATGCGTAACATGTGGCCGAGCCATCAGAGCCTGGTGCGTGAAATAACGGGGCTAAGAGGTTCATTTCTTTTTCCAGTGCGGTAAACAAGACGTCGCGCACGCTCGTTGCTCACGCGGTGTTCCCATCAGATGTGAGCTAAATGGCGAAGGCACCGGCGGTCGAACGTAACTAGCCTCTTCAGGTCCGCTGCCTTAAGCGGCTAGGTTTCACAACCGTGCAGTAGGGTCGAACGTACTGCTGCATTGTACACTCTACCCTTCAGAGCAAGAGTGATGTCGCTCCGCGGCCATAAGTGGCGAAGATTGGCAAAAGCGCCCGGAGCTTTTGCTATACGGTTCGCGATCTCATCTTCAGTCCCACGGACGCTGATACAACTTCCCAGGTAGTTGACTTGTTGAACGACTTCTAGCTTATCGCCACCAAGGGTCAGCGTAGGAGGCGGTCAAAACCAATCTTGGAGGAACGGTTTGCACTTCGAGGGTGCAAAGCAAAACCCGAAGTGACGGACAGCCAGTGCTAATCTGTCCAGTGCCGCTTGGCACGTTTGTGTGCTGTCACGGATTAGGGAAATATCATCAGCATACTCTAAGTCAAGAAGTCATTCTCCTGGGAGCAGATCTACACCTTCAAAGTCGTGTCCCGTAAATGCGATTTCCATGAATTCAAATGGTATGTGTACTGTGCGTCAAATATATGAAACTGCTGAAAGGAAAACTTTATACTTAGGAAACCGATAAAGAGATGGTTAATCGCCTCATCTCTTGCGACCAAGGACTCTACCGACCACAACGAAATTTAAGACACAATAACTACTGTGTCAAAATAATATAAGTGCTAGTCTAGTCAAGACAACAATTTTACGCAACGAAAAAGAGCAAGTCGTGTGCAAACGATGTACTGAAATGTCCTTTACTCGGTTGAGTATTTCATGAATAAGAAACATAACATGGAAGAACATGGAGATTATTTTAATTTGAAGTTCTATATATATATATATATATATATATATATCAACTATTTAACAAAAATTAGAATTTTTATAAACGCTAATCTCTGCTCATCATTTCTTGATAAAGTACTTTGCGTACAAAATAAACGTAAGTACTTATTTTTGGTCATTTTTCTTAAAACAATTTTATTACTCTTGATTTGGTCGGCCGGGGACCGAGTGGTCTGCACGTTTGGTTTGCAACCATAAGGTCACCGGTTCCAATCCGCGTAGGGGTGGGCGTCCTCGCGGTATACTCAGCCCACGCGCGACTGGTGGTGGTCGCGCGGCAGTGAAGCGCCGTTACGGCGTGCAGCTGACACATTATTACATTATTACTCTTGGTTTGTGCACATAAAATGTTGTTCGATTACCAGCATTTCGCAGTTCATCATGTCGATGGAATATGGCTAACGCAGATTAGAAGTTGATTGATAAGGAAATGAGTCAAAATTGGAACAAAGTGAGTGCAACAGGGAATTACATGCAGGTTTCATCATGCATTTATGTTATACAAGTGTTTTATAGTGATCAAGGCATAAAGGATAAGCACGGATATTTGATCTAATACCAAAATCACTAGAACCAAAGTAAAAAATAAAGTAACTTTCATATTTGTCCGAATAATGTGCCATGATCGCATACCCACTTATCAGCGGATATTCCACCTTTCTTTCCTTTTATTAACATTTTAGGGCGCCGTAATACTTTGAATGTTTAACATTAATAGTTCTATATTGATCCTTTGTTTTGTTGTTTCTGAAGTAGGCAAGGTTTCGCAGAGGAATGTGCTTGGAACATGACGTATCAGATAAACAGAGCATTACCAATGGAGACTATTGCAATGAAGATATTTGCTTCGAATTTAAATGGAAACCTTTAAGTTGCAAATCTCCTCTACCTGTCACTCACCATACAGAAGTTATGCACTGCCTTCACAAAAGTGATAAAAATTCGTTCCAACCTTTTTCTTGTAAGGTTTAATGATTTATGTAAATATGTGCCATTACAAGAGCAGGCAAATGAGAGTCGAACCAAATGTAGAATAAAAATTGGAGGGTTTTCTTATCAGGTGGGATATATTAAAAATAATCAGTTATCGAATGCCTACAGCTGTGTTCAAAGCGTCTGACTAAAACAGTAAAAGCAAATGATGAAACTTCCCCTGCCTCATTAAACCATTAGTTCTACTCGCAAGTGACAATCTTGAAGCTCCGTCAGCAGACAAAGGTAAAAAAATATGCCGTTTACTTTCTCATATGCCATATGCATTCGGACCCTGTTTGGCCATGTCCAGCTGACAGTTCGCAATTTCAGGTGCGTTTAGAAAAGAGAAGCCAACCGGGCCACTTTATCTTCTCATCACATCATCAGGGATTTTTATTTACTCGGTCATGGGAAATTAGAGATCCAATGTGAAGTGAAGATTAGAAAGACACAAAAAACCGTATACATCTCATATATTCTACAAAACACTTGACATTCTGCCCGACCTCGGGGGCTTACAATTCGTATCCTTCAGTGTGTTATGAAAGGAGAAGTCAATTGAAGCGCTTTCCCACGTGAACATTAAATTTTCCATTACACAGCCATGCAAACCAATAACCTTTTGGTCTACAAGTTAAGGCTGAATAAAAAAGTATTGAACCCACCTAGCCTCTCAGCTATTCGGTGCCAAACAAAGCATTTTACTCAATCAGGTCAACTTGACACCAAGTTTTAGTAGTGTTTATGCACCTCACTCTGCGTAATTCCTCACATTACTCGGCTAACCCATCCGGAGATCTGAAGACTTGAGAAGAGTCACATTAATGTATTAACCTTCGCTTCCTTCTTGTACCATTTGGGTATACTTGCTACAAGAGCATACTTTTAGCACTCACAAATAAATTAGGCTGTATCACTTTGACCAGCTATGTTAGTCCCCATTGTGCAGTACCCTACTGATTTTGGCTAAAGACTCAAATTGTTTTTCCTCTTTAGTGCACCTGTTGTTATTATCTGCCCCTCCCCGATCTGCACCGGAACCAAACGAATAAGAATAGTGATGAATTTGTAGGAAATCGAAAGTAAGAGCTTCAAATGAGTATTTCCACATAACATACTTACTGGATAAGTTCCAATCAATGGCAGCTGTGCACGTGTGAGCATATCGTTTATGTAATTACGATCTGCCCCTTTTTGGCTAAGGTCTTTCCCTAGAGCGAGAAATATACCTTGCAGTTTAGTTCAATTCAAAGCAACAAGTTGTTACATCTACCAGGTGTTTAGTAACAGATTATGTGGAAGCTGACTTAATGTCTCCTAGCGTTGTACGGCACAGCCGGCTACAAGATTGCCAGAATCACCAGCTAGAAATGACAAAACTGTCTTTCAGTCCAGTGAACTTTGAGGCTACTTACCACTGTCTGGAGCACTGAAAGACTGGGCCTCAATGGCTAATGAGATTTTAGGTGTATTTAAAACATATCATGTATGACTGGAATACGAGGGACAGTATTAGTTTTAATCCCGATTGTGGTTAACCTCAATTTCAGTCACTTCAGAAATGTGCTCGTTTCTGATAGAGGTGAAGGTTGGTTACTGACTTATCCCAGCAATATATTCGACTCACAATTAGGTAATACCAATATAAATATTATATTATGCAATCGGCCACTTGTGGACTATAATGCATGAAGAGATGAACAATCCTCATTATTCTGTCTCAACTCATGCCCCAATGACCGGAATAACTCATATTCTCTTCGAAGTAAGCTGCGACATCCTAGTGCTCGATGGCATTTTACGACAGGAGTTCTTAGGATAGCGTGCTCAGTAACGCGATGGATGACAGCTAGTTTCTGAGATGGCACCTTTTGTTAATTCAAATCAATCTGCCACCACAAGCACTTAAGTCTTCATGCAGCGTTGGATGTACAACAAACATCGCCATATTACAAAACTTGAACATGTCCACGATGGTTTGGTTCTAAAGGTTTTATAGGATAGGTGGCTATCTCAGTGCTTTTTTGTGATCTATCTCCGACGGCGCTAAAACAGAGGAAACCGCATATATAGATGGAGATATTAACAAAGGGTTTAAAAGCAAGTGAGTTAGCAGAAGGCAATTAAATGTCTAAAACGCGGCTAATATGTTTGGAATATCATGACTGCCGAGTAACGATTTCGAGAACGGCATCGATGGCGTCCGACTAAATTACCATCATCGCACGTATCCAGGCGAAATGAGTATACGCATGTAATTTTTCAGACCACAGTCTATTTCATTTCATGACAAAAAACTAGCAAAAAATGGAATTGCCATGTGTTACCTAAACTTGAAATTTGTGTTCATATTTTTGGTAAATTAGTCAAGCAGTAGCACGAAAAGTATACAACAGTTTTTAATCTGTCCCATCGGATGGAACGGCTTTTCTCCGTCTAGGAATTAACTATGCATTGACTTTTTATTTACAATTCAGTTCATTTTTGCTACCCATTATATCGTTTCCAGTTTCACACGAATTCAGATAATTCAATTTTGAAGTATCTATCATCGAAAAACCAAGAGCTCTGACGCATAAACTTACATGTTTCTATAGGATTCTGTTCTCGTTGTACTAAGCAGCCGTTTCCATCTGTTGGGTTTGTTTTTGGCTGTTATAGATTTAAGTCCAACTGCTTCAGATGTAGGGACATCTGGTTCGTTTGAGGGCGTACTACTGGCTGTTTTGCGTAACTTTTGCATCCATGTAATACCGCTGTATAACACTCCCCATTTCTTGAATGCGGGAGTCTTTTTACTGCGATCTTCATTGTTTGTATGCTGCAAATTCCACATGAAAGAGAAGGAGGTGAAAGTAATATCGCCGCATGGAACAGAACTGTGTGCTTTGATGGAACGACTACCCGTTCCTAAGAGTTGGATAAAAGTGGCTCATTTCAAGGAGATTGAAAGCCCAATTCTAAAGATTGTATGAACTGTATCCGTATGTCTGACCATAAATCAATGGCAGACACATGGGCTAGGCCGCACACTGCATATGCGCTTATTCGTGTGGGCAGCGCAAACTTGATTACCCAATGCGTGCGCGCATTGACTGACCTATAAGCCGTGACAGTGACCGCATACATCACTGCCAACACGTTAAACACACATGACTTGACCTACATCAGGTAACCCATCGGGTTTTGCATATGCCAAACAGCTTAAGTTCGTCCAGTTCAGTCTATCCTATGCATAACCCACTCAAAGCTTTATTTCGTCTGGTATCAAAAGTGAGATTATGATCATTTGTAAACCTTCACTGTTCGTGCTGCGTATAGACTGAAAAAATGTACCACAAAGCACACATTTTGCACATGCAGTAAGATTGTTCCAACCATCGAGTGATGGATAACGTTAATGACAACGTACAGTACATCATTCGTCTGCCGCTGAATGAACGATGATACCGCTGTGTCTGTGATAAAATGATTGGGATGTAACAATGGTTTATTATGAGTAAAAAGCGGATATTGAACAAGTCGCATAGGATGGTCAAAAAGAGAAGCACAACATGGTAAACAGAAAACAAAGGGCTAAATTGAAAATCGCTTTTGTGGACTTCCCACAGTGTTAACACACAGGCACGCAGAAAGGAATAACAACATTTGTGTAGGTTGATTCTGGTTGTGCAACTTTCGTCGAATTGTGTCATCTGTCCAGACACACAGACTATATCTCGTGGTGTAGGTCGGTTAGAGCAAGGTCCAGGTCAAGGTAAGGATTCTCCAAGTCCAAGTTTGAATTCGTTTCCGCTGGACCAAGCGTAGCTCGCGGATCTCAGTGGCATAGTGCTCATGGGGTCAACCATGAGCCACTAGGCTCTGAGTTCCAGCCGAACTCAGGCTATCTCCAACTGATGAGTCCCAACCAGGACGAAACCGCGGTCTTGGGGCTCCAGTGTTGGGATGAGCAACCCTATAAAAATGTTTTCTTTACGTACGGTCTTTAAAATCGGAATGACCGAGGTCCACCTCAAGTGAACCGATGTCTCAATAGAGGTTGCTTGTAGCAACCCAAGCACCAGTGGATTCTCCAACTCCACATTTGAAGTTTAAGGCATGTTTTAAACACTGGTAAAGTGGGGGCTGAAACAACGTAATTTGGGTAGGCGTTCCATAGCTAACACACACGAATAGAGTACACGTTCCGACGACATTCAGGCTGATTGTATAGCGTGTCTAACTTGAACTGGTATCCCCACAAACTCGCGCTGTGGCTCAGTTGCAGAAGGTGGCGGCAAACGGGGTCAGGATTTGTTAGAATCTGGTAGGAAATAATATGGTCCCCATGTAGGCGCCGGTACCGACCACTGTAAAATTCTAAGATCCTTAGTCTAAGTTGATAGGGAAGGCTGAACACCCGTTTGACGTATTTTGTGGCTCGTAGCTTTGGAGTCTGAAGAGCTGTAATGCTCTTGCTTGTGTCAATGCTGTCAGACCTGGATCGCGTATTCCACATGATGTCGCACGTAGGTGTTATGCAACTGCGAACATTCAGAGGGATCGAATCGTGCAAATGCCCTCCGCGACATGCCAACGTGTTGGTTCCCAGTCGTTGATTCCTTCTCAGCTTATTCTGAGTAGCCCAGATCAGCCTGGACTTGGACCCAAGGTCACGCTCCCGGGTGACTGCTTGCAGGACATGATTTCCAAACGTGCATGTGATGTTCTGCTGGTGGCGAATGTGAACTACCTTACACTTCTCCGAATTGAACTGGAGCAGATTGCAGAGTGATCCCCCCTACGTTCTGTACAGCTCTCGATGAAGTGCATCGTGATCTGCTTGGTCGGCGATCGTTCGCCACATCTCAACATCATCAGTGAACAGCAAGAAAGTTGAGGCAGTCAAACGCGTAAGCAAGTTAATGAACACGAGAAACAGACGCGGCCCCATAACTGATCCCTGTGGAACTCCACATTCGTCATAAATCGGATCGGACAGCGCACTTCCTACTCTGATCTGCAGTTGCCGATCTTGCAGGAAACTCCTAATTCACCCAAGGACTGGATCACCAACTCCATAGCTTTCTAGCCTGCAGAGCAGAACGCGGAGCTCCAGTCGGTCGAAGGCTTTGAACAAGTAGAAGGAAATGATGTCTGTCCCTTTGCCTTCTTTGGCCGCTTCCGTCCAACTACTGCGTGCAATCAGTAGGTTGGTAGTGCATGAATGGTGCTGGCCGAAACCATGTTGCTCGGGTACTATGATGTTTTGACATTCTAGATGGTCTACTAAAGCCTCAGCGATTATTGCCTCCATCACCTTTGACAGCACAGGGTGGAAGACCAATGGGCGATAGTTCGCGGGTTCCAGGCGATTACCGCTTTTAAAAATTAGATTGATTAAGCCGCGTTTCCACATTTTAGTCACGATTTGCATGTCAAAGCAGCCTTGTTGCAGCTACGTTCAGCGCCGTCGGGTGAATATAATCGATTCCGGGAGAGGTGTATGTGCGTAGTGAAAGCAATTTCTTTAACACAGCTGTGGCAGTAATATCGACGTTAGTGTGTGTTGAAGTTTGGACTAGGGATGTAAATATGTAACACTGGCGGACGTCTCTTTGGAAGCTTGTGGCATACGGCATTTGTTGGGCGTTGGCTGCCTCTTCGGCACTCTGTGCCACTCCAACTGACACATTAAGTGGGGGATACTGAGCTTCAATTTACGGAGGGTATTAAGAGGCTTGTATAGAAGCAGTTAGTTGTTGGCAAATTTACAGGCCAAATGTTGTTGGTGAGTCGATTTGTCCTCACGTACAAGCATGTTACACTGTCTGCCCTGAGTCACATACTCGCTCTAGCTTTTGGGATTAGAACGAGCTCTGTAAGTGCGCCAAGTTTCATTCCTTATTGATATGCGCTTGCGTGTTCTAATTCTGATGAAAGACGAGGGGTTGGCGGAGTAAACTCTCGTTGTTTCTGAAGCAGTCGAGAGTAGATTGTTGAAGCTTCCAATAAAATTTATCCAGACGATGTCAGGTGAGCCGCCTTTCAATAATTCCCGATCGGTCGTAACAACTAGGCCGTTTATGATGTCGTAAGCTGTGTTAATACCTGTTATTCATGTATGTTCCTCAGGATATTTTGCGTAACCTGGATAGTTGTACAGTATGGGTGTCTATAAATGGTCTGTAGACCATGAGTTCCTCATTTCTAAGTACGAGGTGAAGTACCGACGGCTTATTTTCAGCTCTGTACCTGGTAGATAAGCTGATGTGGTTGTAGAGCGGGATATTTGTGATAAGCTTTTGTAGTTTGGCCTTGTATGTTTCGCTGAGTGATGTCGAGATTACCAAGTCGCGCACTTTGAAATCGCCGAAAACAAGGACTTGGCTGTAACTTGTGTGCAAGCTTTTCGTCAGTGATATCTGGTGGGTATCCATCTATGGAGTGGACGATGGAGAGCGATATACGACTGCCACTGAACAATTGTCATTGTGTCTGAAACGCAAATGGCACCATAGCAAACCAGTGACCCGCGTTTTCGGATCATCTAGTGGTTCGTTTGATAAGTCCTTACGACAATATAGAATAGCACCACCTTCCCTGATGGGACGATCGTGTCTGAACAAGGACATTCCCTGAATCGCGATCTCAGCATCCGTAACCCCTGAGTGCAACCAAGTTTCGGTTATGAAGATGAGATCCCAAGCTTTTGTTGCCTGGCGCAACCGAAGCTCTGCAATTTTGCTAAAGGGGCCATGGGCATACGTGCACATGTAGGAAAGCGTTTCGGTTCTCATCAAAGAGCTACACTTGTGGCTAGGGTGGGATTGTGCCGACGTTTGTATGGTCGGCGGTTAGCCGCTTTTTGTGATATTATCAGCGAGTCGCATGGATGTTGGTTCAAGGGCACCGTACTTAGCCCCGCTGATGACTCAGTATGCACAAGGCATAAGGAATGCCTGCAGGACTGCACAGGAAGATCCTCAATTCCTTCAAAACTTCTTTCGATGTGAATTTCGGGTATGATCACTAGTTCGTTTCCATGCTGTGGTGGGGCTTTAAGTCGGACGACAGTTTCCCTCTCCGCTTTGAGCCGGAGCTCAGTAGGCAGTCTATTCCGAAGTGGATGCCAACATTTTAGTAAAGTAGGTGCCATCTGTCTAGTTCGTAGCACCACTTTAATTATCCTTGGGCCTCACCCTTTGTAGCTTGCTGATCTTGGCAGTCTCGAGACAGAAGTAACAACAACGTCATTCAAGAGCAGAGTCTCAAGAACATAGCGTCATTGCTCCTGGTTGTGTGTCTTTGATTCGCATTCATCTTGTTCTTGAGACTGGAGGCAAGGTGGATAAAAACATTTTATGTCTTCGATGTTTATCAGGAACTCTTCTAAGCTCCGCCTCACTCGCTTCGCTCACCCCAGGGCATGTCTGGAAAGATGCGGATCAAACCCATTTCATTCTAGAGACGAGCAATCGGAAGCAACGTTACTTTCACCAAATCGACAGAGTTTACAGACACCAGAAAAATTCTGGCATTGCTATAAGGCTTGGAATTCGAGTGGCGTGTGATCTTTCTCAAGTTGGAGGGTTTAGTTAGAATAACGAGGACATTAATTATAACATCCAATTGGTTTAGGTCATCCACCTATTTCCTTTCAAATACTTTGGTGTTGACTCAGGAACGTTTGTACATATTCTAGATAGGGCAACTCGGTGTTTCTGAGTGTATTTCTTGAGATTGTGGATCATAGTTGGAGACCCGGCGGTTTGCTGTGCATCAGCGCAGCGTTGCCTTTCACATGAATTATAGGTGTGGTTATAGAAACAGCAGCGTTTGATTTTGGAGTGC